CCGGCCCGGCGCCAGGGACAGCGGGACTAACAGGTCAGAAAGGCCGTTTCCTTTTAAATTCTCGCTCGAGTGCAATGGACACGCAGTGGCACATTAGTTCCAGGTGTCCAAAACGGGGGCTCCCGAATTCTGTACATTCCTCAGCGCTCGTCGCCCTACGTGTCCCCCGTGTCCCTGAGCTATTTCTTTCGACATCAGAAATAAATGGACTGCCAGACCCAATCCCAACCCCATCTTAAAACACATTGAAATTATTTATTTTATCTCGCTTTTAGAGATATGTGTCTTTTATCACAACAGGAGCCAGTTAATAAAATTACTAACCAAATTAGAAAGACCATTTCCGTTGATGAAAAAGTAACAGACTCGCCCTGTTTTAAGCCATAAAACTCAGTCCTCCTGTTCTAATGCTCAGAGAATCATGAATATGAACCTCGAAACTAAAGCATTCGGAGTCTCACCCCGAGGCACCCTTACAAGATCTCAGAAGCCACAGTTAATTGAAAAGGCCATGTAAGCACAGGTTGGTAGGGAATATAAAAAATCCATTTTTTTCAGCAAAGAAACAACACATCGACTCAGCATAATTTCAACTGGAAGGTAAGGAAACAAAATATTTGTTCTGAAGGTAAAAAAATTAATAACAAGATGTATAAAACCCCGCTGCTGGGAAGCACCCACGAATGGAATTAAGTTGTCCACCTGACCAGTAGTTAACCTCCAGGCTTCCAGAGAAAGTGGGCACGAAAGAAGGTATTTGCGTCACATAACGTATATAAGCTGAGACGAAAATCGTTGCGAGTGTTCCAGGAACTGTCGGAGGGCGGCTGTGGCAAACACCTGCCAGCTGCCTGCCAGGAACGCCTTCCCCTCGGCCTTGCCGGCCCAGCTCCCGTTTTGTCCCTGGCGGCAAACGTGGTGATAAAATCCGAAGCTAGGGACGCAAGGGAGGGACACCGGGGGCAAGAAGCCCGCTGGATGGGCTCCGGGAAGCCGCGAGGCAGCTGACGTGCCACGCTCAGCGGCCACAGGCCTGCTGCCGGCGCCCTCCACCCTCTGCCCTCCGCCGTGTCCGCTGGCACACAGGGAGATGCTGGGGGCCTCCAGGAGAGCCTCGCTCCCAGACCCCAAGGGGTCTGGCTGCGTCGGCCAGGCCTGCCTGCGGCCTGCCTGCTCGTGCGGCAGGAAAACGGCCCTTACGTCACCGCGACCTGGCTTCCTAGCCTCTGTTTCTTACCAGTGAAGTCAATTCCCAACGAGAAGATTCCCACGTTTCCACCTCTAGGGAGTTTCCTTCTGTAGGAACCACCTGCCATCTGTACCCTGGTGTGTGCTATTGGGCTTTGGATCCGGGCCTCCCCGTTGGGCTTTGGATCCAGGCCTCCCCCTTGGGCTTCGGATCCGGGCCTCCCCCTTGGGCTTCAGATCCGGGCCTCCCCGTTGGGCTTCGGATCCGGGCCTCCCCGTTGGGCTTCGGATCCGGGCCTCCCCCTTGGGCTTCGGATCCGGGCCTCCCCCTTGGGCTTCGGATCCGGGCCTCCCCCTTGGGCTTCGGATCCGGGCCTCCCCGTTGGGCTTCGGATCCGGGCCTCCCCCTTGGGCTTCGGATCCGGGCCTCCCCCTTGGGCTTCGGATCCGGGCCTCCCCCTTGGGCTTCGGATCCGGGCCTCCCTGTCCTTGATGCTTCTTTCAGGGGGACGCTCAGAACCACTTGATACAAACCAGCCTGACCCGTAAGTTTGAGTTCAAGATGCTTTCGATTGATACCCATTTTAGACCAAACGGGTCACACTGTCAATAACCGGGGAAGCCTTCAGCTCTGTGTGGTTGTTCGACAGCATGGTCTGAGCTCTCGCCACGTCCGACGTCGCACCCCGACACGCATCTCCTGTGCACACGTTCTGCTACGCCTCTGAACACCGAGCGTTGCCCACGGGAGATTCAGGGCACACGTGTGTGCTAGAGTGCAGACCAGGTGCTGGGCTCCCTTTCCCCAGTAGGGACCCACCCCCACACGCTGCCGTGACCTCTCGCTGGGAGCCGTGCCTTTCCCCGCCCCGCGACTCGTTCCGACCCCGCGATGGGCTCCGGCAGCAGACACGGGCCGATGGGTCACAAACTAAGGCTAGAACGGGTTCGCACCGCCAGGCCTGCTCCGTCTCACGCACAGCCTTGCGTGGTCCCCACGCCGAGGGGATGGGGTAGACCTGCAACCCAGTGTGAGAGGCCCAGAGGCAGGTCGGGCCCGGCCCAGACTAGACTGCCCTGCCCCGGCCAGCGCAAGAGTATGAAAAAGGACGCACAAGGGCTGTTTTAAGCCACGGCGTTCCGGGGCTGCTTGGTCCCAGCATTTTAGTAAAAGATGGCGAATGTCACTTTTTAAGTGAGGAAATACCAACAATGGCTAAGTAGCTAGTCAAAAATGCTTTTGATACTTTTGGTCTATGTAGTGTTTCAGAAGAAAACCGCCATCGCCACCATCACCACAAGGCCCTGACCTTAGAGCCACGTGCATTCTCACTTTCTGGGGGAGCTCCGCGGTTTGCACGAGGTCTCCGCTTGGTGGTTCGTGATTCTATCAGTCGTTTCACTGATTCAAAAAAAGCTTTCACCTCGATAACTGAAAAAAAGTTCCAGGTGGGACACTCATGGGCATGATTTCCGAGTTGGTCAGCACACTTCTGAAAAGTCTCGAACTCGGGAGTTTTTGACAAGGATGCAGGAGACTGTTTTCAAATACGAGCAGGGTTGGGGAGGGAGGCAACTGTCACTAAAAACAGCTGCCCGAGGTATGTAAAGGAAGGAGAGCTCTGTCTTAGATTTGGAGTCTCCGTGCCTGGCGATGAGAACCATCCGCTTCAGGCCACGCACACCGGCTCACTCCCTTCCGGACCCACCTCGACTCTACTCTCGCCGCTGGCCTTTATTCGAGCTTTTCCAGCTCCCGTGATGGCCTCAGCCCCTCCTCCCTGCTCCATTTCTGCACAATTGACTTGCCACTATTAGTTTTCATACTTTTCTGAGTAGAGAAAAAAGTGTGCAAGACGGGATCTACCAGAAGGGAGGAGAGGACTGTGGGAGAAGCATGACTGCGTCAGAAGCCCCTGCAATGGTCCCAGTGAAATACGAGGGCCTGGCCTGGGACGGAGCAGGGGACTGGAGAGAAAAGGAGAGTTGTGGGACTTGACCGATCGCTTCGATCAACGTAAGATCCTTCCTTGTTCCTCCCGTGGTCTGCCCTGGCCGCGCGGCATGCAGGGTCCTCAGCGCTCAGTCAGTACTGAGTGCGAGTGACTGCCTCACACGACAGGGTCAAACCCCACATCCTTTGTGCCAGGCCCTGCGCCCTTCACACAAGCCACACCCGGAGGCGCGCAAGGCCACCGGCCCCGGCTTACGGAGGAGACGGAAGCACAAAAAGTTGGAGTCATGCGTCCCGAGTCACACAGCCAGAGGGGCAGGGCCGGGGTCGCTCACTCGGGCCAAGAACCGTTGCCTCTGCCTCTTGACTGCAGGCAGCTCTGGGACTAAGCAGTGCTAAAGGGCTGTGCTTTGCTGGTAAGAAGACACCACAAGCAGAGTTCTGAAAGCATATTTTATTTGAATCTACGAAAAATGATTAAATCCAAAGTTCAGAAATATAAAAGATTATCCAATAAATTTAGGACCCTAACTGTTTCTTAAACAACGTGACAGACACCGAAGCTGGTTTTGTGGCTCCAAAGTTTCGGTTTTTACTTTCGTACAGTTTAAATAAGTAAGAAGCCTCATAAAATATCTTCATGCACATGCACAGAGATCGTCTTACATGACGTGCGTCGGGGGGACTTGGGGCCACGAAGATTATTTTTCCAACCGAAAGCTGGAACTGAAACAGGATCACAACCCGGCTCCCACAGCTGTCGGCCCGGCCTCCAAACGGCTCGGTCGAGCCAGCGGACGCGTGCGGTGTCGGGGCCCAGCTCTGGGTGCCCGTGGTCGCACCGCAGGCCGGCCCCGCTGCTCACAGCGTGGGCATTCAGCTCCTGACCTGCTCTCACAAGGGCCACTCGGGTGGATCCCCTATGGGCACGTCCTTGTGCCCTTGAGGCCACAGAGAAGGACGAGGCGGGAGCAGGGGACCGGCCGAGACCAGCATCCCGGCTACGGCGGACGCCGCTGAGCCGTCTCTATGGAGGGTGCTCCCGAGTCGTTCAGGTGACCGGTCACCTCCCAGGACGCCCAGAGCCGGCCGGGGCACGGTGGGCAGCGGCCACGTGTCAGGACAGAAGCGGGGCACTCAGCGCTGGCCGGGGCGCGGGACTAAACCCGCCTCTCTGGACGCCGGGCCTCTCCCGGCTGCCTCGGGACGGCAGGGGCGATCCCTAGTATTTTACCGCGTGGTTACTCTGAGCCCAAGGCAACGTGCAAACCGACGCTCGAGAAGGAAAAGCAGCCCCCAAAGCCAGGCTGGAAGCAGCCTTTCCTACGGGCACTGCCCAGACTCAGCGCATCGCCGCGGTGCCCGCTTGGCTCATCGGGAGGACGCCATCTCTGGAGGGCACAGCAAAACAAACCAACACAAAGTCCCAAGAAGCAAATAAACCCATGCGCTCGTTAAGGGCATGATGAGGACAGGACGGCAGAGGACTGCAAACTTCTGCGGAAGCTGCCGACGCAGATTCGAAGACGCCGCAGGCACAGCGGACCTCAGAGGACGCCAGCGTGGCCTGTGGGGCGCCCCCCCCCCCGCCCGCGCCCGCCCCCCCCCCCCCAGGGGGGCGGGGCCGCGGCTCACAGCTCTACTACGTCAGCATGTGCAGGATAAAGAAATTAAGCCTAAAGCCACTCAAAATACATCTCTACCAAGTGCAGATTTCCAAGGCCAAAAGAGGGCACATACATTGTATGTGATTAGTTTTCTGAAGCCAGCCTTTCCATTTCACAGATTAAAGCCGTCTGTTTAAATATCTCATTTCTACAAAGTGAATTTACATTTAAAGTACAAAGTGCAAATACTATGTGTTTTTGGGTTTTTTTAATTGCTTTTTGGTGAGGGAGTCTCCCACGTGTCCAGGAACCGCCTTGGATGTGTGAGCCGCTACCCTTGCTTTCTTGGCTGAAAAAAAAAAGACAGACATGGAGACATTGTTAGGAAGTTTCCATCCCTCGTCTGTGAGGAGTAAAGCCTGCCTCCTAGGGCTGGCGTTAATCTACCTGTCGGCAACAGGGGAAAAGCAGTATTTGTTTTGTTTTTTTTTTTAGGGGTTAGGCTCAGTTTATTTATTTACTTTTATTTTAGTTTAGTTTAGTCTTCTTCCTAGAACTAATCATTATTTATTAATAACAGGTTTTGGTATTCTGTTTTATTGTATCGCACTGCATTGTATTTTTAAATGCGTGCAACAGGAACCACTGTTGGTTCCATCACTTTGGGCATAAGGATTAACAAAGACACGATGCCAACGTTAACTTCCGACCCTCCTCTCCCTTTCAGTGATCAGGACTATCAGGAGAAACATACTGGCTGAGAAAAATTAGCATTTGCTTTAAGTATTTTAAGTAGATTCAATATATTCAACGTTCTGCAGCCTCCCGTCATTTGATTATTATACAAGATAACTATTTTTAGTTTTTTATTTAACGTTTATTTATTTTTTGAGAAAGAGAGCGTGCACACTTTGAGAAAGAGAGCGTGCACGCGCGAGTGGCAGAGGGGGCAGAGAGAGGGAGGAGACACAGACTCGGAAGCAGGCTCCAGGCTCCGAGCCGTCAGCCCAGAGCCCGCCGCGGGGCTCGAACTCACGCGAGATCACGCGAGATCACGCGAGACCGTGACCCGGCTGAAGTCGGACGCTTAACCGACTGCGCCACCCGGGCGCCCCAGTACTTTTAAGAATCTAATTCATGCTTCAAATTTGATAAAGGCATCACTGAGTTTTGAAATTTTCTTTTCATCCTTTCCATGTACTAACTTACCTCTCGAGAAGAAATGCAGCTTGAAAAGTCTGTCTCCTAAACTACTGCCATTCTGCACCCCGACTGCCAGTTAAAAGCCATTTGGAACGAAAAGGAGAAGCGCGATACAGTCTTTGAGATTTGTTTTCCCAAGTGTATCAATTCCTACCAGTGTAAATCGATCCATGCTCCTGTTTGGTTATCTAAAATAATCCACGTAAACACTTAGGAGGCGTCCAGGCTGCCTCTCCTCCCCTGATAAACACACTAGTAGGTGGTCAGAACAAAGAAGAGTGTCTCTCCCGCGTCTGAGCTAATGGGAAGTTTTGTTTTAATTAGTTGTGGGTGAAGATAAACCATCAGTATTTTCACAGTTACGGAAACGCGTCACAACTGTTGGAGCAGACGAGGCTGGCCCATGTCCACGTCGGCGTGGGGGCACTGCTCTGATCGTGTCTGAATCCTGCCGGGAAACGCAGAAGAGATCAGGAAAGACGCCTCGCTCTTGGATAACTACGGGCCCCTGAATCCTCCTAGCTCCCCTTTGTTTAACGCTTCTTGTCTGCGGTTACTCGGACGGTGAAAGATCTTGGCGCTCAGAAATATTTTATTCCTCAAAGAAAGGTCTACGGCCCTCCATTATTTCATCACGTGCAAGCCACAGCTGGTTTATGCAAGGGACTTAATCCCAGAATCACGGTTTACAGTAACAGCCCTTGTAACCAGGGCATGGAAGTCAGTATAGCCATCCCGACACCATAGAAACAGCAGGAGCGGCTGTTTCGGCTTCTTTTTCTGGGAAATAGCTGAAGAGGGAGGCTCGCGTCTTGAACCAAGTTTACCGCGCGCGTGGCCATCGTCACCGCTGGGTAATGACAACACCCCGCGGGCGTTTCCGCTGGGGTGACTGCTTTCAGACCAGCCCGGCTCTAAAGCGGAGGTGACTTGTGGTAGGATTTAAAAAGTTAAAGCCGTAAACATTCGCGAAACAAAGGAAACCGTATCACACGTCTTTCCTAACAAAATGGTTTTCAATTACATCTAGGGTGTGCCTTCGACGGCTCCGCTTAAAACCCACACCAGATGCAGGACATGACTTGGGAAACGTCCACTGACGTCCAACCGGTGATTTTATGAATGGGCCAGCGGTCCTAAGGAGGGAGGCTTTTTGTCGTGGCTTTGAGGGAGGGAGAAACGTATCCACTCACGTTTGCCCTCTGGAAAATATTCTAGACTTTGATGGGTGTGGCTTGGGATGCTGGGGAGAGTCCACACAATTACCTACTTTACCCGCACGTGTGAAGATAACAGGATTCAGAAACACAGAAACATGTGTCTAAACACACACTGGGGGAGGCTGAAAATCCCTTTTGGAGCAGAAGAGTTGTCTCATTAAGATCCCCAGATGAAAAGAAAATGTTCACCTGAATGCCCAGAGGGTCTCCTGTCCCTGTGATCTCCTTAACAAATTGTTAAGATATAAGTTGCAAATCCCAGACAATTATTATTTTTTTTTAATTTCCACAAAAGGGGCGCCTGGGTGGCGCAGTCGGTTAAGCGTCCGACTTCAGCCAGGTCACGATCTCGCGGCCCGTGGGTTCGAGCCCCGCGTCGGGCTCTGGGCTGATGGCTCGGAGCCTGGAGCCTGTTTCCGATTCTGTGTCTCCCTCTCTCTCTGCCCCTCGCCCGTTCATGCTCTGTCTCTCTCTGTCCCAAAAATAAATAAACGTTGAAAAAAAAAAATTAAAAAAAAATAAAAAAATAAAAAAATAAATTTCCACAAAACAGTAGGACTCCATTTTTTTTTCTAAAAATAACAAAATGAAATTTCAAAGAGTAAAAAAAAAAAAAAATTAAGACAAATCTTTAAGTTGATGATTTAACGAGTTGGTGATTCTGATGGAATTTTGCAAGGTTCTTTTGGCCACACTGGGGTATGTATATGAAACGTGGCTTCTCCTGTTTTGGGAAGGTACTTTACTTTCCAAATCTTCAGAACCCCGAGTTTTCATTGCCTATAATTAAACAAGTTATTAACGCTAAAATAGAGAGAACAATACTTACCTGTCTATTAGAAGTGCTTTCAGCATTAACTCTGGGGGCTAACAAGGAAAGAAAAAAAAAAGACACTATTAAAAACCAAATACTCTTCATTCAGTGAAAATTTCAACATCACTTTTCAGGAAGGGAACAAATCACTTTAGGACAGTGTCGTCAACTGACACACTTTTCACATGAGAAAATACGTCTAGAGGGAGACAGCACAGATTACAAGCAGTGGCTTCGAAAAGTGACGACGTACAATTTTCTAACAATAAACGCTCCAGTCCACCTGGAGAAGAAGGTTTCATTTTACCAAAACTTCCAAAGCAACATCTACTAACCCGAGACCTTTCTGACCCGTGTTTCTTAAACTCTCCCCGGGGAAAGGAGGCCCCAGGCAGGGTGCAACACGCTTCCCTGACACGTTTTGGTTTTATATTTAACTCATAAGAAACTAGCATATTTGGCTCAAAACAATTTTTCCAAATCCTCGAGGGAAATGGAAGGTGGAGGGAGACACATATAAGACGCACAGTGTTTGTCCTGTGGCCTCGCCACGTGGCCCGTGGTGGGAGAGCAGGCGGGAGGCTCAGACCCGGCCCCCAAGGTCACGTCCCCCATCCTGCGGGCACTCCTGGGTCCAGTTCCCGGGCACCTGCCTTCCTCCCCTGCTTCCAAGATGGCCCTCCACCTTCCTGGGTTCCCTCCTCTCTCCCTCCCCTGCCCCTGGACAGCACAGCGCTGTCCCCAGCAACAGGGAGCACGGCAGCCCTACCTCACTAAACCCAGGGGACTACACAGAGAGGGGACTGGTGCCCAGGTGCCCAACGGGCACAGCGTTCAGGAACCACTGGCAACCAGTTTACGTCACTGGTGACAAGTGATGCGGAGGGCTCCAGGTGACCCGGCGGACGGCGGTTTGTGGTCAGGCAGTATGCCTAGAAGGGACGCGGCTAGCATGGCAATTTGGTGGAAAGGGCTAATTTGGTCAAAAATGAATATTTCTTCATTGCTGAGTGTGCAACGGCCATTTTGGAGACTCGTGAGGGAATGAGGCAACGTTTTGTGGATGTTTTTCCTGAAACCTTCAGGAAGATTTCCTTTCCTGTTTTTATCGTTTATCGACAGTTTCAGTTATTTTTTTTTGTTTTCTTTTGGTAGTAGTGAAAATCTAGATCACAGCTTCCGCTAATAGGTTTCAGTTAAATAATTCAAAGGTAAACTGTTGTGTAATTTCCTAAACTAAGTGTGATCAGGAAGGAGACGTGTCACGACCCCATCCCGTAGTGAAACGTCACAGCTGGCACGCATGTGCGTGTGCACACATACAGACCTTCCGGGGGAATGTACGGGTCTCATTACGTCTGAGGGAAAAAGCCACGTTATCTGGTTTTTATTTAATTTCTGATATTTGTTAGGATAAGACATGCATTGTCCAGCCGTGAGCAGAGATGAATGAAACAAAAGATAGTGGTAACAGGTGGCCTATTCAGAACGTCCAATCTAACCCTCTCCCGAATGTGCAGGTTTCAAAACCTACTTCAAATCACACGTGGCAGGAAGAAAGAGCTGATAATAAAGCTGAAAATGAAAATCACAGTAGGAAAAAAGAGAAATTCCTCAAGGAAGATAAGGGTGGTAGAATCAGATATGAATCTAAATCCCCAACGCTCACTTTTGACCAAACGGCCACTTGGACCACATTTTAACTTATTTCGAGGGGATTCATCAGCCCTCTTCTTGGTGGCTAACACAGCCCTCACCTCAGGACATTGGCTCACCTGCAGCCACCTGAGGAACGGAACACTCCAGCTTCCACGGTGACAGGGCTTTCTATTAAGGATGAGGCTGTCAAATGCCCCGCCCCTGATCACCCCAGGGCAGGTCCTGACAGCTAGCCCCCCACCTGTCACCCCAGGGCACGTCCTGACAGCTAGCCCCCCACCTGTCACCCCAGGGCAGGTCCTGACAGCTAGCCCCCCACCCTGTCACCCCAGGGGAGGTCCTGGACAACCTGGGGCAGTCCTGACACCCCAGAGCCCCCTGCAATCACTCAAACCAGTCTGTCCTGAACCTGCTGACCTGCCTCACGTGCCCCTCCCCATGGAAACCTCAGGGAAGTTGTCCACGTCTCCCCCGTTCCCTTTGCCCCGACTGACCGTGGTCCCCGTGTGGCCCTGCGTGTCGTGCCGTGCCCCCTTCTCTTGGGAACGCGTGTCACAGACTGTCTTCCCCATGGCAGCGGTCTCCTGCCCCGTTGGCCCTAATATACCTCAAATCCTCTATCAATATACTATGTTTTGAAACCACAGGATATTTAATCGATTAAGGCACTCAAACCCAACTCCAAAGGCCAGCACTAGCGTTCACAGGGAGGTGGGATTTTGAGACAATTGCTGGTCATCACCAACCAGGCGTGAGACCCCGGAGCGCCAGCTTCCTCAGCGCCCTGACCCCTCCAGGTGAGGGTCTCTGGCGAGGACGACGGCGGTCCCTCCTCGGAGCAAAGCAAGGGCCAGCGTTTGCAGGAAGACCACCTTCCCATCCTGTCTCTTCCACAGACGGCAGCCTTGGCTGAACCACTCGGTGGAATCCTCTAGAAGCCGCGGTTTCTCACGGGTTTGCCCAGACGAGGCTGTTCTCTGGGACGCGCACAGGTACCGTTCCTGCCAGGCCGCCCTCCTCTGGCCGAGTCAGGCTGAGACTGCTGGACGCTCACATGCCCCAGAGCCCTGGGGCACGACGGCAGCACTCCAGAGCTCCATCCCGGCACCCCGAGGGCTGCGCTCAACATCACTCCCACCGAGACGCCCGCCGAGCTCCTCAGCCGGAGCCCGGTGCCGTGTCCGCGGTCCGCCGGCCACGCTTTGCACGCGCCGCCCTTCCTGTGGCTCCCCCGGCTGGGCGCTTTCGCTCCTTTCCCGTCAACTGGAACTTCCGAGGCTCAGCTTCTCTGTCCGCCCCTTAGTTGACGGCAGACCCTCGGCCATTTGCTGAGTGAATGAATGCACGAATGAAGGGTGTCACCCCCAGAGAAAGCAGCTCCAGAAGGCGACGGGGACAACATCACCGTGAGGTCGCGGCCCCCCGGCTGGCCGCAGGTGATGCTTTCACCTTCCCGGCGCGGGAGCTCACGCCGCTTCGGAAGCCGGGCAAAGAGCGCAGAGACGCGGGGCCTGGCGGGGATCACCTGGAGCCAGACTGCACCGGGTCACGGCCGGACACGAAGCGCGCACGCCCGAGGCCCAGCGCCTCCGCAGACGGCCGGTCACGCCGTGCACTGAGCCGCGCGGGTCGGGGAGCGCGCGGGCTTCTCCGCAGGAAGGCAGAGTTGTGCGGGCGGGAGGGTCGCCGCCTGACCGGAGGAGACCCCGCTCCGTCTCAGAGCCTGGGCACCCTCACCGCGCTCATCCCCCCCTTCACGGGGGTGCCCGGAATCTGTGGCCCGCACGGTGCGCCTCAACAGACGTGCCGCCACCGGACCCTCAGCTCCAGACCCGCGGCACGTATCAGGCCACCAGACAGATGCCGAGGGGAGGGCTGCCTGCGAACAGTGGGCCGGTCTGTGCGATCCGGAAACGGGCGACGCGGAAGATTCTAGAAAGAGCAGGCTGCACACGCAGCTGACCCCGCACTTAGGTCACTCGTGGCAGCCACAGGACCTGGACACGGGTTCCAAAGGGAGGCGGCACCACGCCCATCCGGCCACGGCACACAGGTCACGGGGTGGGTGCCCTGGTCTCTCCCCGCGGGAGCGCCACGGAGTGGAGGCCGACGGTGCCATGGTGCCACAGCCGCGGGGTCGGGTGGCCCCTGCTGCCCACCGGCTCCCGTGACGACCCCCGAAGGCCTCCGAGGGGCCCCGGCTCTGGCATTTCTGGCTAGAACCGCAAAGGGTCCCTAGTTTCCGGGGGCCCTCGGGGAACCGAAGTCGAAGACAAGGTGAGGGACGCAGCGAGGGCGGCTGTCCCGGTCCAGGAAGGCACAAGCAGCGGCGGAGAAGCACCAGAAAGGACCCCGAGGCCGCAAACAAAGGAGCGGGGGTGGGGGCTGTGCTGGTGCAAAGGCCCGGAGGCGGAGTTTTGGTTTTCACACCAGTGCCGTCCGGAGGTTGCGGGGCCGGCCTGCGGTGGGCCAGGGGGCCCGACAGAAAGTGCAGCCCGGGCAGGGGCGGCCGTGAGGGTCTAACGCTCGGTGCTGGGGCCGCTGCGCAGGGAGGACGGGGTGGAAGCCGGTGCCGGCTGCCGAGCCCCGGGAGACCCCCGACTCCGGCTCCGGTGACAGTGACAGTCGGGACGCTGTGGCCTGCACGCCACCAGTCGGCACAGCCGGGAGAAGAACAGTGCCTGAGCTGGTTGTGACGGGTCATGAGTCCTGTGGGCTCTCGTGCAGCTGGCTCGGGGCCACTGCTGGCCTGGCACGGGTCGCGACCGGGGTGGCGGGGTCACTGTCCCGCTCGCGTGGAGGCTGCACTCCTCCCACTGTGCCCTCAGACACGCGGGACACAAACACACGGACCCGGCCTGGAGCCTGGTAGCTGAGTAGTGTTGGGGGACCCTCGTGACAAGGGCTAAGGACACAGGGACAATAAGACAGAAGGGAACCGCTGCTTCTGGAAACCCGCACGTGGCCAGCTGCTCGGGGCTCCGTGTTCCACAGTCGGGCTGCAGACATAGGACGGCCGAGCCCAGCACGACGAACTCAACGCTCGTCTACTCCCTGCCTTGACTTCTCCTTTCTTTCTTTTTTTTTGTTAAATTTTTGGATTTTTTTTTAATGTTTATTTATTTTTGAGAGAGAGAGAGAGAGAGAGAGAGAGAGAGAGAGAATAAGTGGGGGAGGGGCAGAGAACGAGGGAGACACAGAATCCAAAGCAGCTCCGGGCTCCGAGCTGTCAGCACAGAGCCCGATGTGGGGCTCAAACTCACAGACTGTGAGATCATGACCTGAGCCGAAGTCGGACGCTCAACCGACCGAGCCACCCGGGCGCCCCTTTCTTTCTTGTTTCCACATAAATCCAAGTTAGTTAATATAGAGTGTCATAATGGTTTCAGGGGCAGAACCCACTGGTTCATCGCTTACGCACGACACCCAGTGCGCATCCCAGCAAGTGCCCTCCTTCATGCCCGTCACCCATCTAGCCCTTCCCCCCACCCACCTCCCCTCCAGCAACCCTCAGTCTGCTCTCTGTTTTTAAGAGCCTCTTATGGTTTGCCCCCCTCTCTGTTTTTATCTTATTTTCCTTCCTTTCCCTTATGTTCGTCTGTTGTGTTTTTCTAAATTCCACACAGGAGTGAAATCATATGCTGTCTGTCTTTCTTTGACTGACTGACTTCACTCAGCATGATACTCTCTAGCTCCATCCAACTTGGTTTCCTGCTCAGAGGTGTTACTGAAATTGGTGACCCTCCCTGGCACCCACACTGTACAAATGAGGCCATTAAGTCCCACTTGCCCGTGCAGCCAGCAGGCAGGAGGTCCATGCATCCTGCCCGCTGAGGGTGCTGGGATCTACCCACCGCGGGGAATCCTCTTTCTCCACAACAGCTGGTTGGTCAGGCCAGCCTCCGACGAAAACATACACTCGACTGGCAAAACAGCTCAAATAACGTTTCCAGCCATCACAATACTGGGTCTGCATAACAGGAACTACCGAACTGCTTACAAGCCGGCCTGAACGTCCGGTGGGAGTCGAGATGCGGTCCCCGGATTTGCACCTCAAGCACAGGACGACAGGACAGGTTTGGAAAGCCGGCCACCGCGGTCGGAACAATAAAACACTGGTCTTCACACAACACCCAGCTCCTCCCCTTCCAACCGGCTTCCCTCAGACGCTTGTGGACGATTTGCTGTCATTTCTACGGACAAATGAGCTACACGTAAGAGGCACACGGTGCTTTTCTTTCACCCTCAGACCAAAGGACAATCTACCCTCGTAAGCAGTCGCGGGAGCGGGCGTCGGGACCCGATGCGTGGCAAAGCACAGAACAACGAGAAAGGCTCTTACTGGGGCGCTTCCTGGCACTGGCTTTACCTTCTTCTTTCGTCACCCCCAGGCAGCCCATCAGCTCCGGCACCGAGATGGACTTGTCATTATTCACGTCGCAGTACTCGACAAACTTCTTCACGCACTTTTTGGGTTTTGACTTTTTCCGAAGGAACCTCTTGAAGGGCTTGATCTCCTTTTTGCCAATGTCCCCACTGGAGTTCTTATCAAGTAGTTTGAAATACCAGTGGACCACTCTCTCCTCTAGCGTGTGGCTGGGGTCGGGTTCGGAAAGCCTGCAAGAACACACAAGGGCGTCAGGAGCCGCGGCCACACCGCCGTCACCGCCCTGCCCCTGCCCGTCTACGGAAGGCACGCCGTGCGCACCAGCCCCCCCAGAGGGGCGCCCTGCCCGTCACTCCTACGGTGCCGGTGCCTAAGCTAGCAAAGATTCAACGTTCCATATAACGAGGTTTAAAAACAATTTAGAGAAAGGGCTTTAAAAAATATTTCAAGTTGGTTTCAAAACGGCAAACGACACAATGAATTTATGTGCGTGAATTACACAGTTGGTGTCGGCCAAGCGTTTGAAGACAGAAGCCCCGGGTCCCAGGTTCGGGGCTCCGTGGGGTTGGCGGGTCAGCTCGCACATCCATGGCCCTACAGACACTGGGACCCCGAGGCTCCCGACTCCTTTAAGTGTGACGCACAGGCATACATAGCACTTTATACCACAGGGACACTGCCGGATGCAAATAAAAATACATCTTGAAGTGGTAACCAGACATTTACCCTTGGATTTCAAGAAAAGTTTGGTATTTTAAGATCTAGGAGACGAGATACTCAGGAGGGAGGCCAGCACTCTAAGGAAGTCACCACGGGAAGATTCCCCCTCAGAAAAAGCTCTTCGAAAAAAGAAATAAATTACTGCTAATTCCCAGGGGGACGCAGGGCTTGCCATGCGACGTCCAGGCAGCGCTGGAAGGTCCCCTGGCGCCTGCGGTTAGTTGTGGGGAGCACATGGCGTCAGGACGCTCCCAGGAGGGCTCGGGGAGCACGGCCCGGAGCCCCGGAACCCCGACCCCCTGCACGGCACCAGACCACCCGCGTCCAGTTTCGCAAGTCACCGTGAGCAGTGTCAGTGTGAAAAGTGCCACCGAATTGGACACTTGAGATGGTAAATCTTACGTATTTGGGTTTTTCTACAACAGACACACAGTATTTTGAAAACGTGAAACCAAACATCTTAATTCAAACTATGAAAATCGACTCGATGGCTCTGAAATGCAACTCCAAGGCATTAAGCCGTTGGAACTGGGGCCCCGCTTTCCGTTCCTCTCCCGCCTCCCACCTGCCATGGCCTGGTGCAGCCACTGGAAATCCCAGGTTCTGAGCTCAACCCACTGTGATACGTGAGCTCCGTGAGCCCCACAGGGTCCCCCCTCCATCCCCGTGAGCCCTGCGGGGTCCCCACTCCGTGACCATGAGCCCCACAGGGTCCCCTCTCCGTCCCCATGGGCGCCGCTGGGTCCCCTCTCCATCCCCATGGGCCCTGCAGGGTCCCCTCTCTGTCCCCATGGGCCCCGCAGGGTGCCCCCTCCGTCACCATGAG